GTCGGGGCCCGGGCGGTGTCGGGGCCGTGCGGGGCGGACGGGCCCGGGCGGGGCGGTGCTGCAGGGCAGCGGGGCAGGGCAGCTCGGGCCCCGCGCCGTCCGGGCACAGCCTTGGGGCTCTCCCTGCCGGCAGCGGCTCCGCAGCCGTCGGGCTCCCTTCTCCGAGTGCAGGGATGGGCACGGGCGCTGTGCCCGGAGCGGTGTGCGGCTGAGGGAGCTCCTGAGCCGGGAATCAGAGCTGAGGTCGGGCTGGGCCGGCAGGGTGTGCGGTCCCTTGCGGTGAAGCGGTCCCGGGAGGATGAGAGGGATGTGTGGTGGTGAGATTAACTTTGGACAGCTGCACAAGCAGGGTAAAGAAAAGCCACCCCATACAGATGTTAGCGTTCAGGAACACACATAATCACGGGGTTTGATTATATGCAGGTGCTTTTATTGAGAGCTCTGGGAATCAGGGGTACAGACCCAAATCTGACTCCGACATGGCTTTCAGGCTGAACGTATTTTATATTCTATCGTTATATAACTTACATATTAATTATTAAACTTATATTGTTCTATTGTATACATTGACCTTATTCAAACATGAGTTTCTCCTGATCTTTCTTAGGCCCCTGACCACAGTTTCTCATGATTATTTTTACAATTAAACAGTAATTGTATTTAATTACTAAAGAATCATCACATCTAACATTTATATCATTTATCATATGTTATCTACACAAGTGCAGTTCTAGCAAGGTACAAGGCCTTCATGTACCTAGGGTATTTATTTTTTTCTCAGGGTCTACTAAGCTTAATTTTTCTTTGAACCCTAAATCCCCATGATTTTAAAACCCTTTTACTATCACAGATCACTCTGCTAGTGGGAAAGCCCAAATGAGCAAATTTCTTTATAATATGCACAGAAAGAACTCTTCACATAACACCAAATAAAATTCTGGAAAAAGGAATCGTTCCTGAATGCTAGTTATTTAAGTGACTTTTTCTTTTTCCAAATATATTTCCCAACAGATGGATGCTTGTGGAGAAGGGAAACTGCTAGGGATGAGAAGATCACTGTTGAAGCAGGGCACACTGCAAACGTGACGTGCTTTTTCATGCTTGAAGCTGGATAAATCTCCCTGCCTCAGCAGGTGGAAAGTGAAACCCAGGCCTGGAGCAATTCTGGTGGTTTCTGTGGTTATCCCCAGGCAGTGCTCTCCACTCCTCAGAAACTCACAGCACTTCTGGGCTTTGCTCTCTTGGTTTTGGTGATCTCAGTACCATGTTTTATGCTGAAGTGTAAAAGAGCCCTGGAGCAGCTCAGAATCCTGCTCCACGTTCATTGCTGGCATTTCTTGTCTGGACAGTTTGGTTTTACTTGATGCCTTGTGCTCAGATGCCATTCCTTACTCCTGCTCTTGCTGAGGACACTCAGTGGGTTTGGGGTGGGCCCTGCTTGGAGCAGAGAAGGATGGGATTGCAAGGAGCTTCCTTCCAAACTGGGAAAACACAAGGACCCTGATGAGACAGGCACTGAGACTGTGCCCAGTGCCTGGCAGTCTGCCTTTGTCACAGCTCCAGGGGCACAGTCTGCTCCTGCAGCCCCTCCTTCTCTGCCTGTCTCCTGCTCCTGGGATCTGTATTTTCTGAAAATAAATAGAATTTCACCCTTCAAAAGTTTGCTTCAAAGTGACAGAGGAAAAGCGTAATAAAAATTGCCAAGATCACATTTTCTTTGCCTCCTAAAATAATACGACAGATCCAGTATCTGCATTATTAACTATGAGTGTGAGCTTGTTTTCTTTTTAGGGGCTTTCTAATTTACCTGGGGTCTTTTTCTTGTGCTGTACAAGCACATGGCAGCAGCTCTCTGGGACCAGTAGTTATTTATTATCTTGGCTAAAGATGCCCTCTCACTGCAGAAACAGCTGTGTGACTGCTTCTCTCTTGGCAAACATTGTATTCTGACAAAAGCCTCAGTGTTTTGCAGAAAAATCCCTTTGCAAAGGACATTTATTGTTCTGGTTTGAAGGAGCAATCCTCAGGCTGAGCAGAGACAAGCAAGATTTCTCCAACAACTCCACTGTCCTCACCTGCCATTGGCAGTCCAAGATAAGGCTGCAAAATGTCACTAAAATCTTCCAGGAACTGATTTAGCAGAAATAATTTTTTAAGAGCAGATTTTGATGGAGATGGCATTTCATGCAGATCACTTTGGTTTGTAGGTAAGAGCTAGTGGAACAGAGCGTGTGATTTCTTAGTATTAGAAAAAAACCTCAAAAATAGCATGTTTGGCAAAAGTGACAAATTAGCTGCAATAACTGAAGTATCAAAGACAGTTACTGATGGGATAATTTGGGTTATTTAAGTCTGTTCTGGGAAAATGAGGATTAGGAAGAGGCATAATTAAAATATGCAAAGCCGAAGGGGAATAGAGAATAGATATTAAGTCACTTTAAACTAGTAATTCATGAGGGGGTGGAAGGGAGAGAAATGGATGAAATGATGCTCTGAAAGGGCCCTGATATTCCATTGTTGCAGAGAGAAAAGCTATTCAGAGCCTGAGTACCTCTTCTGTGCACACAGAAATTGGAGAGGAGAAGGATTGAAGGGAGCTGATCCTGCAGGGTTCCCTCACACCTACAGGAATATGTTTTTGTAGGGACATCAGGAGTCTTCCAAGCTCTGTTTTCTGTACACTGACAGCAGAGCTCCAGGAGCTCAACCAGGAGAGTCCTTAGCACGTCAGTGTAGGACTGTGAGAATGCTGAAAATGAATTCCAGCAGGGTGGGGTTTACCCTCTAATCAGACAGCAGAGACCATTTCAGCAAGGTGTTTTTGTTCCTCAGCCTCATAAGTCCAGTGCAAAGCTCCTGAAGGCACTGTTTTGTCTACCAACAGAAAGGAGTTTTGTAATGGAACCACCAGGGAAACGAGTTTAGCCTTAAATCCTTACTCCCTGGAAGTTCAGTGTTGATTTCCAGGCGAGTTCCACGCAGAAATAGGAGCTTTGCATCAGGAAGAAGGCTGACATCTCACTGCCTTGAAGGGATGTCAGGCTCCAGAAGGAGCAAAAGCTGCTCGGGAGGCACCCGGAGCCATTCCAGAGAGTGTGACCCTACAGCGCTGCCACTGTGATGTCAGGGGCCCGCTGGGGTGTCACTGAAACGTTGGCAAGTCCCCGCAGCACCAACAGGACACTGCCACTCCTGCAATCCAGAGCTCCTGAATCCTCCTGCTGGCATTCCAGCAACATCTTCTCCTCCAGGAGCTCTCCGTGAGCTGCCTGCAAGCCAGCCAGGGTTTTATCTGGCTTTTGGGCTATGCTGCTCTGCAAGTTCTAACACAGATCTGCAGAAATGATCCGGCAAATCACTGCCACAGCGTGTGATTTTCTGTCTACCACATCTGCAATCTATTTTTATCCAGAAAAACCCTGGCTGGTGATAGCTCATCTGAGGAGTAAGTAGTGCTTTTCCCAAGGTGCAGCATATCTGGCTTTGGGATCACTGTGTTCTTTCTGCTCTTCCTTAGGAAATGAGCTGATTTTGGAACAGAAATGCCAGTGGGATGCCATTGGTTTGGTAGACCTCCTGTCAACAGCTTCTGCTAAAAGGCGTGTCTCAATGGGGACAGCATTTGGAATGTGGGGAGCCCTGTGGGGGTTCCATTCCCTATGCTCAACAGTCTGGAGAGTCTGTAATTCCCTCACCTTGCTGCTTCAGCCAATTTCCAAAATGCAGACTGGAAGAGCTTGTCAGAAGTGCTTCTAAAAATGGTGCAATTATCTTCAGAACTGAGGGAAAACATCTTTTTTTCCCCATAATTGGGGGATTTGACTAACAACCTGTTCTAAAATAGAGATGACCTTCATGAGGAAATGTAACTTCCCAACAGTGTGTGTTCCTGAACCCAGGAGCTGTTCCTGTGCAGTGTCAGAAGAGAATTCTCACTGCTAAGGGGATTTTGGGAAAGCTTTTCTAGGGAAGCACTTTCAGCAAGCTAAAAAGAACCAACATAGGCAATTTAATAATAGGAAAAACAAAAAAGGAAAACTTTAGCTCTTGGGCAGAGCAGAATCATTGACTATTAATGAGCAATTTACATTTTCCTGACTGAGTTTCTATTTATTTACTGGTGAAACAGCACAAAAATTAGAAAAATATAGAAAAGAAATTCTGGTATTTTGTCCTGTTCTGTTGCTCACTGTGGAAAAGAGCTGTTGCTCCTAGAGGGATGTTATGAAATAAAAATGCTCTCTTATTTGGGCTGACTTATTCCATGGGGGATGCCCTACAAGGGACAGTTTTCTAACAGCATCTGGTTCATCTTCTCTTGCCCACTGCAGATCTCATCACCCAATTATCCAGAGGCAGATACAAAGCAGTCCATCCTTTGGTGAGTGGGAAAGGAACCTTTGACATTCCTAGAGTTTAAGAACTGTGGAGCAAGCTGTCAGTGAGCTTTGCCTGCTCCAACAGTGTGTCAGCCTGAAAAAGTGTCCATGTCTGGTTTTGCAGCAGCAGCAGTGGGATCCCTCGCTGTTTCCTCCATGTCTGTTCAAAGTTTTTAAACAGATTAAAGTTGCAGGGAGAAGATTGTGGTTTTAGCCATGGTGGAATATCTAAATCACAGCAATTTTCAATACTGTATAATTGCCTCATTTTAATTTAATTTTAACAACTTAGAATTCCCTTTCTATCAAGTTTAATGCTTTATCTTTAGTACAGGTAGATATACAGCTGAGCATAAATAAGGTTAAAATTGATAATGTGACTCACTGGAGTAATTGAAAGAAAGTTTTAAATAACAATCCACACATTAATGTTGAGTTGCAATAATAATCCTGGAGAGAGGCATGACATCCACATTAATATTGGCCAAATTTATTAGGGTTAATATTAAACATTTTAAATAGAGCACCAGTGAGATGTGAAGTGTAAAATGATGCCTTTGATTTGCTTCAGTTCTCTAAGTGGTCTTTGTGACAGCTTCAAAGCAGTTGGGAAACAGCAAATTTGGGGCAATGATATAATGCTCTGCCCCTGCAGAGCAGCAGCTGGGGCTGTTTCAGCCCCCCATAATTTACAGATATTTAAATTGTGACACGTGCAAGAGAGAACTGAGGCTCTAGTGCATGTCTAGATCAGTTTCTGATGTCAAAGCAGCAGAAAGTTGTGCGTAACTATCAAACCTCCCAAGTGGCAGAAGGGAGATTCTCACTCCTGTTACTGACTGTCCCCAGGCCAGAACACTGCCACCAGGACCTCGACCTCTTTCCCTTCCTGCACAAGAGGATACTGAGAGGGAGAGGGAATTTGCAGCTGTTGCCTCAGCAGAAGCAGTAAGTGCCAGCTTTGGTTACCATTGGTGCAATTTGTAGTTTCCGGTCAGACAGCAGCTGCCATTCACAGCTGGAGGTGCTGAGGGCCGGAGTCCTGCCATGACATTGTGCTTCACCCCAGCCACTGGCACCTGGAAAATTGGTTTTGAACTTCCCTTTTAGACATCAGTTTCTCTTGCAGGATACAGGAGAAATTGTCTCCTGGATGTACCTGCCCCTCTGCACAGATTATTTGAGAAAATCCATGAAAATTGAACATGAAACTGGCCGTGAACTTGTTTTGTTTTCGTTCATTCAGTTTGTGATGTGGACAGCAAAAAACAGATTAAGTGCACTGGATGTGGCTGACAGGCATCTTCCTGAGGGTTTGCATTTGGAATATGAGCTCAGGAGGTCCCTGCAAGCTCCCTTCCTGACATTAATTTCTCATCACAGATCCACACGAGCTCTCTGCTGGGAGCTGAAGATGCGGATGATGAGACGTTTCTCATGTCTGACACCCTCAGCAGTAGCGCGGGCGCTCTGGACAAACCCAGGGTCTGGCTGCAGAAGAAATGCCAGCTGACAGCAGAACTGCTGCAGCAGCTGAGTATGTGTGCTGTGCCTCGAGTCTGGTGTGTGTGTCCCCACTTCAGCTGCACCAAAGGGACAGGGGAAGCAGGAATTCTCTCTGGCCATTCCTGAGGGCAGCTCAGACTGGGTTCAGTTTCTCTGCGCTTCCATCTGCGCTGAAGGCAAAAGCAGGGATGGTTTCTTATTCAGCAGAAAGTGCTTGGACCTAGTGAATGAACTTCTGAACTCCTGAGTGCTGATGGCCAAATCAAGCAGGATATTTGGGCTCCTAAATTCTCTTTAGTCCCCTGACAAGTCATTGGAGGAAAAGCACTTCATAGCAATTAGATTGATAACAAGTAGTGTGGTCCTTCAAATGGCACAGGCAAGGTTATCATCAGAATTTAGCCTGGTAACGTTTGATGAAGGTCCTGGATCCTAAAGCCCCATCATTATTGATTACTACATGAGATGCTGTTCTTTAAAATCATAAAGACTGTCTTTTGGCAAACTGCTGAAAGTTGGGAAGCTCCTCTCCTCTCCTGGAAACACTTTGCACCATTTCTTAAAAATTAATCCCAGAGCCCAAAGTGTATTTAATCTTCAGAAATATTAAACCTTTTGTTGACTCACACAAAGGGTTTACTCCCAGGAAAATAAAGGCCATATTGTTTTAGCTCTCCTAAATGTTTGTAGAAAACAAATTCTTGCTTTAGTACCTGGTCTTTCCTGATTTCTGTCTTCTGTGGATATTTCTCCTGGTGCTTTGTTTCCTGTCAAGTAACTCTTCAAAGCACTGCAGAAAATCAGGCGAATCTGCGCTTTAGCGCTACCTCTGTTGTTGTTGTTGCCCACAGAGGGCTCACAGCCAGACAGTGGGGCTGCATTTTTAATCTGCTGGAGGGTGGTGTCTGTTTGAAGTGAGCATCCTACATTTCATTTCTTTCAGGGGGCATTGTGAATGAGGGGGACCCTAAGACCAAATACACTGAATTTGTTCACATTGGCCAAGGGTAAGTCCAGTTCAGTTACTCCTACAAAGCCACGGGTTGGGCGTTTTGCTGCTGTAATAGCAAATGTGAATCCAGGCAAGCTCCAAACATGATGTGGGTTTAGATCTTCCCATCTCAGTACAGGTCAGAATTAATAATTTTGGTCAAAAGGTGTTGTCAAAGAAAACTCAATACTGGCAGTGTCTTGCCTGCAGCATGAATTGGGACCTGAAAAATCTCCCATCCCTCAAACCTTTTTCCCTAAAAGAGCACCTTACCACCCCACTGTCAGATAAAATTTCTTAATAACATTTATTTCAAATATTTTAGTTAAAAAATATTTGGTAATCCAGAATACAACCATGTAGTTTAACAATTGAAACCAGAGGTGAAATAATAAACTCTCACACTGTCATAGGAAATCCCACCCTGTGTAGTCTTGCAGCACACATTCCCTGGGAAAAAAATACACAGACACAAAAAGAAGGAAAAAACCCAACATAACAAGGCAAAATGGAAAAAAAAATAAATTAAATATTTCTCAGTTTTTATAGGCACACTCTCCCCTGCTCTCAGGTTTTGAAGCTCTGTGCTCTAGCTCTTTTTCTTCAGTTTTCTTCTCTGTTTTCCCTTGGACACCTTGCATGACAGAGGGCTGCTGTGCTGCTGTCTGAAGAACAGGTGAACCAAGGGCTTTTAAAACACTTCATGCAGCAGAGATCTCCAGTATGCCCTGGTTTTCACTCCCAGCACCTAACCTGCTTCTCCTTTTTCCACTGCTCTTTCATTTCCAGGGGTTTCGGGACTGTTTACAAAGCCATCAACCCAGCTACAGGAGATGTGGTGAGTGCCAACACCCCCAGCTCTTCAGGGCTTTCCCATTTTTGTGCAGCTCTTCAGGGCTTTCCCCTCTGCTGTGAGCTCTGCTGGAGCTTTGGCCAGTAGAGCTTTCCTGGGCAGGCTGTTCCTCAAGCACAGAGCAGTGGCAGCCTGCAAAACACATTTTGGACAGACTTTGTTCTTACTCAGCTCCAGAAGGAATGCAAGAGGGACAGTGGTATCTTTCAGAGAAGGACATAATTAAGGCTTAAAGTACCAGAAAATGGGTTATATCTTTAGAAACCCAGAAAATGATTGCAAATCTGAACTGTGGAGTTCAGATTGCTCATGGAGTAGCAAAATTGAAGTTCAAGATGTCAGAAACGTTGTGGGATTGTAATTTTTTTGTGTGTGTATAAGTGCTATGATGTTTTAGGCTGGGATTTTGTCCATCATGTATGAACATGCTTTTTTTTGCAACCAGGACCAGCAGCAGTTGCTGAAATAGTGGCCAAACTCCATAGAAATGCTGAAGGATTCACAGCTGCTTTGATATATTTTCACAATCACAAAATCTGTGTGAATAATAACAGAGGTGATAAACTGAGGCCATCAGGGAAGAATGTGGGTGCAGAGTGTAGTCAGAGATTTGTGGGTGATAGTTTAGGGAAATTTTTGCAGAGTTTAGAAGGCAAAATTTCTCTGGCAAGTGTCATGTAAGTGGCAACAAAGCAAGTGGAGAAATCAGCTGTTGTCCTGTCACTTCTTGAGCCCTGGTGTCTGATCACAAGGTTTCAGGGCAGGTGGCACAGTCCAGCCCCAGCATTCCAAAAACTCTCTCTCCATGGCCATTGTGCTCTCCTGCAGCAGAACTGCTGGAGCCCAGTGGTCTCCAATTTCATTTCAGGTGGCCCTAAAGAAGATGCCTCTCCGCAAACGGAGCAGAAAGGAACTCGTTGTCAACGAGATTCAGGTCATGAAGGAAAACAGACATCCCAATATTGTCAATTACATAGACAGGTGAGTGGTTCTGGTGTTAGCATGGGAATGTTAACAGCAAGATAAAGGTTAAATAACCCCTTTGGGCACTGGCAGAACTGGAGCTCTTTCTTAATTCTCTATTCATCTCCAGTGGATGGCAGGAGATGGCCTTGGGTCTCCATTAATCTTTTCTGGTGTATGTTGTTGGAAACCTCTTTTCAAAAACCTGGATGTGCCACATCTTGCTAAAAAAACAGCCTGTCAGTTCATTACCTCTGTGTTGTTTTGGGGATTTGGTTTTTTCAGGTTGATCCTATTTTCTATGCCTTAACAATAAGTGCTGATAAACCATCATAGAAATTATCTCCCTTGGGCTGTTCCCACCATTTTCCATTGCTGTTGAAGCCAGGAAGACTAAATTCTTATTTGCATAACCACATAATTTGCCAGATTTTACATAGTTTTTCCTGTTTCTGACTGTACTTTGTTCATGTTTTCTAAATGGTTGGCCAACGTCTGTCCTCAGTGGTGCAGAGCCTCCTCCCATGGGTAACTTGGGAGTTGTGTTGCCTTGTTCCTGGAATGAATGGTGGAACTGATAAATTAAGATAATGACTCAGCTGATGGCAAGTGTCCTGGTTCCAGATTGATCTCTGCTGTTACTAAACTGCATTATTCTTGTTTGCCATCTAAGGCATCTCCTTTTTCATGGATTTCATGCCTTTCTCATTTAGACTGCGCAGGTTCCAAATACTCTGTAGCCTACAAGGAATGTCTCTCCATTTCATTCTGCCTCCATTTAAAAGTGACCTGGAAACAAAACTCCTGTGCAATCTTTTCCACAAGGTCATTTAGCTGTGCACATTCACCTCCATGCCTTTTTTTCTTCTCTCAGCTACCTTGTGAATGAAGACCTGTGGCTTGTGATGGAATATGTGGATGGAGGCACTTTAACCAGCGTTCTTGTCCAAGTCTTTATGGAGGAAAGAATGATAGCTGCTATCAGCAGGGAGGTGAGGGACCCTGCTTGTCCTTCCAATGCCTTGGACAGGGTGGGACAGGAGTGACTTTGTGTTAAGAGCTTTGCTTCAGTGCTGCTGTGATGAAATGTAAAATAAAGAAGTGTCTTGGTTTGAAAAGGCAGGTGTCTAATAAGGAAGGCAGGAGCTTCTCTTGAAATGGAAAATGTAAACCCCTTCTCTCTGAATTATTATAACTTTGAATTAAGAGGCTCTCAGGTAAAGATATGCGTATAGGAATAAGTTCTTTGCAAGAAAAATTAAAAATATGAATGCAATAGTACACTGCCAACAGAACCACAGGCAGTGGAGGACAGGCAAAGTCTTGGAAAAGATGGGGTCACTCACAAAGATGCATTCTGTAAGAAATGGACTTAAGGAAACCCCAAAAAGCCGTGCCACAAAATCACAAAGTGTACCTAGATCCACACCTCTATTCTCTATGGCTCTTCTCCCTTAACAGAATTCCCTTTTGTCAGAAGATTTGGCTAGGAAAAAATTCCATTTTTGTGAGGTGTTGTGAACTGTTTTTACTACTTGTAATAACCATCCTGGGTCTGAGTATTCTTGTAATGCAATGCCATGCAGCAGAGAACAGGTCCACTTTATAGCTTTGCCCTCAATATTTGTTACTCATTGTTTTATCATCTAAATATACATTTGCAAGATGTATGTCAACCTAAGACAAAATGCATCTAAGTGAGCCTTCTACCAATACAACTGCATTTCTTATATTCTGTTATACACTTTTGTCATAGTCTCTTTTTAAATTTATTTAACATTCTAAACTTTGCCTCATTAAACTGGAGCATGTCTGCACTGCATTCTTGGCCTGTAAAAGCAAACATGCTCGTGGCAGAATTTTAAACTAACAGCAGATTAAAACAGAGCCTCATTTCTCACAGTCCTCAGCTTAAAAGGAGAGCACTGCATCCCAAATGGTGTTTGCTTCTGAAAAATTACTAATGTGCTACTCCCAACTCTGCTGTTGAGGCCAACATAAAACCTCTGTCATGCCGTCTCCCACACAAAAGTAATCTACTTCATAAAGGAGGGAGAGATATTTTCCTTTTTGACAAACCCTCCTTTTTCACCTGGATGGAGAGAGCAGAACCACTGCAGCCATTCTGGCTGGGTTAGGAATGGACAGTCTATGTCAACAATTGGTGTTTCACCTAGAAATTAAATCTTTTAGGGCCATTTCCTTTTCTTGAGTGATGAAATGAGGTTAATTAACTTCTACCCTCATGGGTTTTGTCTCAGTGCCTCAAAGCCCTGGATTTCCTTCATTCAAAGAATGTGATCCATAGAGATGTCAAAAGTGACAATATTCTTCTTGGGATGGATGGATCTGTGAAACTGAGTAGGTATTCTTGGTCAGGCACAGCATCCCTGTGTTCTCAGACGTAGAGTGGAGAATTCTTGTGCTTGGTTTCATGGTTCAAGCTGGTTTTGACAGTATTTTTGCTTTCCTCCTCAGCTGATTTTGGCCTGTGTGCTCAGCTGACCCCGGAGCGGAGCACACGGTGCACAGTGCTTGGCACTCCTTACTGGGTAGCACCAGAAATCCTGAAAAGAAAGGAATATAACACCCAAGTGGACATCTGGGCCCTTGGGATCGTGGCCATTGAAATGCTGGAGGGGGAGCCTCCGTACTTTAAAGAAAGCCCTGTCCAGGTAAGGTGCAAGCACTGTCATTTTCCACTGTCTTGCCAGTCAGTGCCATGTTTTGTCTCCCATGAACCAAAATCCCACTCAAATCAGCCTGAAATACTTCTACCAAGGCCCACTTCTAGAAATGTCCCTGCAGAACATCTCATCAGAGGAGAAGTGACCTGTGCCAGTGCAAAAATGTGCCTTTTTGGCCTTCAGCATTGCTTGAGTTCCTCCTGCTGTGCTTGATGTCTCCCTGAGTTGGAGCTGGGAATGACAGCAGCAAGTTTCTTCAACTGGGAAATTATTATGAAAAGCATTACAAGTGTATCTGCAGGCCCAGAAGTCTTTTCAAATTCTGACCAGTGCCTTTCAGGGAGGGTCACTGGTTCTAGTGATGCCATAATTATGTATTACCCCAAAAATTTCTAAAAGTATGTTTTAGCAAAGCTACTTGTAGTAAACATATTTTGAAGTTTTCAGTTTTAGATCCTAATTCTTTAAAATTAAATGATGAGTTCTCATACCAAACGACAAAGGAATAGTGGAGGAACGTGTATGAGGATAACATCTCATGACTATTAGCTGAAACCAGGTTAAATGCTGCACAGTTAGTTCTTGAGGAAAACAAAATTTCTGGAGATTTCAGTCTTCCACTGTTTTTGGAAAAGCTCAGTAACTTTTCTTGGAATACCACTTTTGGATTGGTTTTGCCTTTTATAAGGCAGCAAACACAGATTAAGAGAGTTATTTCCAGATCCCGAAATACTCTGAGTTGGGAGGGATCACCAAGTCCAGCTCCTGAGTGAATGGCCCATCTGGGGATGGATGTTACCAGAGCCATGCTCTGACCAGCTGAGCTACACTCAGGGTCATTATCATCACTGCTCTGGAGTGACACTTCCCTGCTTCCTTACCCTCAAATGCTGAGAAGCCCTTGTGCTGCTATTGGACACGATATGAGTATACAGAAGTTTGGTAAGTTCAAAAGGGAAAAAGCCAATTTTATTTCTGACTTCACAATATATAGGATTCCAAAAGTGACAGTGGATTGGAGGACTGCTAATTCTCCAACCCCACTGGTCAAACCATCAATTCTCTCCTCCCACAAAGAAGAATGTAAAACAAAGCGTGAGAACTCCAGTAAAATTATGTAACCATCAGAAGGCATAGAAAACTTTCAAAAGAACTATAAAAGAAAACACTTTTTAAAATCAGGGCAACACCCCTGAGCCCCTTGAGAAGCGCCAGGAGCTCTCAGAAAGCCAGGAGGGGCTGCGGTGGAGCTGTCACCCCAGGGATGGTCAGTGGCTGTCCCTCTGTCCCCAGGCTCAGCGCCTGATCGCCCGGAACAGGTACCCCCCGCTGAAGATGCCCAGCAAGATGTCAGTTCTGTTCCACGCCTTCCTGCACTCCTGCCTGGACACCGACCCCAGCACGCGCTGGACAGCCAGGGAGCTGCTGCAGGTAAAGGCCCAGCGGAGCAGGGGACTCCCCTCACCAGCTGCCCTCCTCTCCTGTACATCCACACTCTGCGTGCTTTGCAAAGTAGAATCATAGAAGAATTTGGCTTGGAAGGGACCTTTGAAGTCCAGCTGGTCCAACCTCCCTGCCATGAGTGGGGACACTGGGGGCATCTTCCACTTGATCAGGTTGCACGGAGCTCTGTCTGACCTGACTTTGGATGTTTTCAGGGATGGGGCATCCAACACTCCTCTGGGCAACCTGTGCCAGTGTTTCACCACCCCTAGCATAAACAATTTCTTCCTTAGGCCTGAATCTCTCCTGTTTTCATTTAAAACCATTATCCTTTGTCCCTTTACAACAGGCCCTACTAAAAATGGTTCCCCCTGAAGTTTGAAAGGCTGCAGTAAGGTCTCCCTGGGGCCTTATCTTCTCCAGGCTGAACTATCCCAGTTGTCTTGGCCTTTCCTCAGAGGAAAGGTGTTTCATCTACCCTCTGACCATGTCTGTGCTGTATTTTGGGAGTGCATTCAGTTTTAGCTGGTGGCAAGAGAGCTGCAGTAGAATGGTGCCAGGTACAGAGGCCCAAAATGGTGTTGGTGGAAAAGGAACCCAGTCCCAGCCCAGCAGTGTGGGAGATTTGGTTGTTCTTGTCTTGGTGCTGAAAACCTGCACCTCAGTGTTCTTCAGAACAGCACAGGCCTAAATCCTAATGGGACCAACATTTCTTGGAGGTGCTGGAGTTCCCTGTGGAACAGCTTGCCCTCATCTTTTCTGACAACTAAAGCAGCCCCTACCTTTAGAAAAAAGGAACCTAAGTGAGTCCTTTGAGTTTCCTGAAATGAAAAAAGTCCCGAGGCAGCAAGTGGCATTCCCAGAGTGCTGGCAGGGCCAAAATCCCAGCAAGCTGAAGACACCTTGATAAATTGATTAATGGGATTACTGGGCCATGTTTGCCTCTGACAGCAAGGTCCTGAATATTAAGATTGAGATGGAGATGGTCCCCTCAGTCCTATTTATGTGTATTTCTGGTAAACAGAGGAATCATGCTTCCTCTTGTGATAAACTGGGTTTGGAAAGTAACAGTTCCTTTCTTTTTTTTCCCTTTGGGCAGCACCCATTTTTACGAACAGCCGTGAGTCTCTCTGTCCTGCCTGACATGATCTGTATCGCCAGGAAAATCTGTCAGGCCATGGAAGCACTTCATGCCAGCAGTGCCAGCCTAGAGGAAAGGAAGGAATAAAATTTTCACTCCTGTGGGAGATTTGCTCCCTTCTCACCCAACGGTTACATTCACTTCTGAATTATTGGTTACTTCTTAAACATGGAAAGTCACAATTATGGGAGTTTTGGTATGGTTTGGAAATGGGGAAGGGTCTCCTTCATTCATCAGCTCCAGACCACGCTGCCTCTGGAATGCCCATGGGCTGGGCTTTGCCCACTTGTGGACTTCTGGTTGAGGAAATAAGTGCAATTGCATTTCCAGACAAAAACAGGTGAAGAATGGGGCAGCCAAAGCATCCTGTTGGATACACACAGTCAGCTGGGACTGTGGAGTGTTTGGAGAATTCCCTGTCCTCCCTCCACCTGGCAGAACATGTGGACACAAAAAAATATATAACATATAGAGATTACAGAGAAAGATATGTATATAACATAGACAGCTAAATGGGGGGTGTGCAAATGTACATAGAGACATAATATACTGGATAGTTACTATATGTATAAATATTTATAGAATATATTATTATAGTACTATATATATAAAGTTTTTATATAATTATATGTATAGATAGTGTGTTACAGAGCTGTGGAAATACATTTATCTTGTACCTTATATTATCCCCTATTCACACCCCCCCAGTAATTCTCCTGCATTGTAGCTCCTTATAGATATAAAATGCATATATTATTATATTATATTATTATATTATATTATATTAATTATATTATGTTATGTTATGTTATGTTATATTATGTTATGTTATATTATATTATGTTATATTACGTTACGTTACGTTAATTATCTCCTTATATATATAAAATGCATATATAAAATATAGCTGTATACATTTTATTTATCTGTAAATATTTTATATTTTATAAAAATATATCATTCTCCTTATATATATAAAATATATCTGTATACACATATACATACATATACATGGGGTGTGTGTGTATCCACATTGTGCATATATATCTATATATATATATATATATATAGATATAGATATAGATATAGATATATATGTAATATTTTTATGTACACTCCGAGGCGCTCCTGTAGCTGTTCCAGAGCGCACAGAAGCGGTACCAGCCGCAGAGGACACGGCGTGCTCCTCTCTCTATAGATAAAAGGCCGCTGTCACCGGCCGTGCCCCGGCCGCGCTCACCCCTGTGCGGCCGGGCACCGACCGCCCTCTCGCGGCCGCCGCCGGCGCAGAAAGCGCTAAAATCGCGTTTTTTGGTAAAATTTTATTTAGCTCACTTCGTATTGAAAAGTTACAAAAAGTTGCAATGAAACATTTTACACCCGTTTCCACCTGTTTTCGTTTTTGAGGCGGCTCGAGTGTGTACATAAATGCAGCCCTTCTCCCCTCGCAAAAAACCAAAAAAACCCAAGATGTTTTCCCACATGTCGATATTGTTAAAAAATTAACAAATTTAACTACCAATGTTAGGAGCAGGCAGCAGCACAAGCCCCTGGCAGCCTGCCCTTGCCTGGCTTCACCTGGGAAGGCAGAAGCATCTGTAAGCCAGCAGAGCCAGCTGTGTGCCCAGGCTGGATCAGCTCCTCCTGATGGGAAAACAAAACAGTTCCCCAAAATAATCAATGCAGAGGTCCAGGCATCCTGCTGAGCCTCCCAGCACTGCCAGTCCCTCAGGGCAGCACTGGCCAGCAGTGCCTGTCCCCATGCCGTGGGGGCAAACTGAGGGGATTGTCTGGAGCTGGCACAATGCTCAAGACTTAAAAGTCACACATCTGTGCTCCCCACCCCACTGACTTCCCACTTTTCCAGGCTGTACTTGCCCAAGAACTGCTGGTCACACTCCCTGTGTCCCACTGATGCTGGGGACAACCCAATACAGAAGCTGAAACAGGGTGGTGGTGCTGGGACTGGGGGCCAGGGCTGTGTGGCTGCAGGGAAAGAGCCAAGGGACGCCCCTCCAGCTTGGGGCTGAGGTGGCTTTGTGCCCTCAGGAGATTCCTCAACCAAATCGTGAGGCAGGGAGGCACAACCCTCTGATGCCATCTCGGTGTGGATCTTTTTTCAGGCTAAACACTGACCCTTGGCCAAGCCAAGCCCTGGGAATGGCCCCCATCCCACGGGAAAACTGCGGGAAGCAGCTCCCACAACCTGGAGCAGAGTGTGAGGAAAAGCAAAGCAATCAGCTCTTGGTGCAGGACTAGGGCAGCCCTGACATCTGCAGTTCCCCTCGTCCCAGCTCTGGTCTGCATGAGACTATGCTTTTAAAAGGAGAAATCTCAGTTTACAAACATTTGTGAGAGTAAGCAGCTCTGAAGCCATGAGTTTACAGAGAATGTCATTTGCCTGTGGGGCTTGTAGTTCACACCTCTGACAAGATCTCTGCTGTGCCAGAGGTCTGAGCCCAAACTGTCTGAAAGAGCTGGATTTAAGTCCTCGGTATGTGCAAGCTGATGGCACTGCAGCATCATTCACAGCCCCACAGAACAACTCTGGAATGTCAGAGAAAGCATTTTCCTACCACAGCAATGATCCTTTCGGAGCCCTGAGGAGACTTCAAAACCTTCTGGGAAAACATTAGCTCTGTCAAGGGCCATTTAATAAATCGCAGAAATGGCATAGCGTGGCTGAAGTGGCTATGAGGCACATAGAATCCAAATTTTCTGGCAGTAAAAAAAAAGCAGTACAGTCCTTCAGCTTCACTTTCCCACCCAGAATCTGCAGCTGTGTAAAATCCATTTCCAAGTGTCTGGCACAGAGCCCTGTGCACTGCCAGGGTCACTGCCCAGCGTGCCCACCCCAGAGAGCTGCTGAGGGAACCCTGCTGAGGCTGCAGGGGAAGGGAAGAGCTGGCACTAGACCCCTGCTGTGAGGGAAATGTGAAAGAACCCATCCTCCGTGCTACTCAAGTGAAACTCCATCAAACATCAGCCGTGCCAGCAATAAATGACAGCAAAATTTTGAGAGCGAGACCTGACAACTGCCAGGGAACAGCGCCCTGGTTTTACAAACCCACCCTTCTCATCAGCTCATTTTCTCCTCCTTCAGGCTGGTGCTACATCTACCAAAACAAGAGGGCCGTTATCCCATTTTTAGCATTATGTGGCTTAAACAAAGCAAGGAGGTTTCCATTACTGAATCTGTGCTCTGAGCAAAGCCACAGCTGAACTGTGATTCAGCTTGGACAGAGATACCAAACTGAGAGTCACCAGCTCGAGGTGGAGAAGAGAACAATCAGAAGGTCAATCTAAGAGCCTTTGGGTGGACAAAGCTCTTATTTGCTGTGGTGTTCAAACAGGCACTGCAAGATTTGCCCCTCTAATGTGGTCCTGGCGAGACTGGTCTTAAGGCCACGAGCTATGACTGAGCTCCTCGAGTAGTGACATTTTCACCAAGGAACAGAAACACCTAATCTGTAGTGAAATTCATCAAGAAATTTATATCCTTCTATGGGAAGGATATGGAAAAAAAAATCCCCACGAATCCCCTTTGTATTTGCCAGTCCCCAAGCTGCTGGTGGGTGCTCGATGGAGCTGCAGCCATTCCTGCCTGCATCCTCAACGATGCTGCTGGGAAGACGCTCCCATCCTCACGAACTTACCTTCCATCATTCCATTTCTCCATGAGCCGGATCACGAGCATAGATATGTATAAATGCGCATTTCCCCCTCTCCCAGCGCCTCTCCGCCCATTACCAGCGCTAACGCGGAGAGTCGGAGGGCTTTCCCCCCCTTTAAAGCGATTATGCGATGATGCCGAGAGGCGGCAGCTCCGTCTGCCTCTGCGGGGCCGCGGCGCTCAGAGCTCGGCGAGGTCATCGCTGCACAGCACCGTGACGCTGATGTGCCCCGGCACCTCGGCGGCCGCCCCGCCGGGCCTGCCCCGCAGCCGCAGCCGCCGCTGCTGCCGGGGCTGCCCGGGCCGCGCTGCCAGCACCGCCTGCCCCAGCAGCCGGTCGCGCAGGAGGCTGCTGCTCCACACCTGCCGGAGGGAGGACACGAGGGTGCTGTCACGCTCCGCCGGCAAGGGGCATCCCCGATAACCCCTTGGAAAAGCAGCGAGGAGGGGGTGTACGCCTAAATTTAGCTAATTGTCTAGAGAGCATGAGGGAGACTCTGGATTTGCATGCTCATTTACATAGACTATGCAAATAAGAAAGAAATGCAGCTTTTCGCTTTCTAGGTCATAGCCTGCCTAGAAGAGGAATAAAAATGACCTTTTTTAGCTCATCAGCAGCAAAACCTACCTACAGTAGCCTGTCTGCTGTTCTTCCTGCCTGTGCCCACCTCTGCACCTCCTCAGTGCTAGAGTTTTAGAGCCTGGCCCACAGACTAGACTGATCATCATCTCAATGCCAAATTCTATTTCTCCAGCTACTGCTGAGGTAAACAGTGCGGTCTAGTTCCCACAGGACTAAAATTCAGGCTAGAAAACTTCTTAGTAACAGCCTGAGCTTTGGTTTTGTTTCAAACGCTGACTCTGGACAACACTTGGCTTTTCTTTGTCTCTGCTTCATCAGGTACCACATGGGGCAAAAGGAATTCTGTAAATTCCATCAAAGCCTTGGAATGAAACATTCCTTGGAATGAAATATGCCTTGTGATCCCAGAGTGCCATCAGCTGGTGTTTGTGGAGGAGAAGCAGCAGCAGAGCTGCAGGCAGAGCCCAGTAAGGGGAGCAGAGGTTCTCCCTCTTCTCTCCTGGATATCAGGCACACAAAGGAACAGCTGGCCCAGCGAAGGCCAGGGCTGCTGCTGTGCTGCCCTCCCTGCCCCGAGCAGCTGCCCTGTGCCTGTCTCACCTGGATGGTGACAGGACTGTCGATGTCCTTCCTGTAGAAGATCACCTGGGTGTTGAAGACGGGGCTGGTGGTGTTGTGCTGCACCGGGGAGCGCCAGCTTTGCTTCTCACACTTGATGAGCACGTAGGGATCTGCTCCTGGAACACAATCAGCAGCACAGCTCTGGGCACACAGAATGGCAGCTGAGCTACCCAGAAACCCAACAGAGACAACCCCCTCCTGTGCCTGGCAGCGCCACAGGACAGGGCACCAGGGCACTCACAGCCACTGCTCCTGTCCAGGTGCAAACACAGAACCATGGAGTGGTTTGGGTTGGCAGGGACCTTAAAGCCCATCCCATCCCACGCCCTGCCATGGCAGGGACACCTCCCACTGTCCCAGGCTGCTCCAGCCCCAGTGTCCAGCCTGGCCTTGGGCACTGCCAGGGATCCAGGGACAGCCACAGCTGCTCTGGGCACCTGTGCCAGGGCTTGCCCACCCTCACAGGCAACAATTTTTCCCTAATATTCAATCTAACCCTCACATGTGACCCCCTGCAATTGTTCAACATTCTAGAAATGCTTTGTTTTTACACTGAGCATTTTTATTTCTTATTAAGGTTGATATTCTCTTTCCTTTACAATAAGGAGCAAGAACCATTTTGGAAACACCAAAAACATTCAAAGAGAATGGGTCATTCAATTTTCTAATTAACTTTTAATTATACAAAGGCAATACCATGTTTTGTATTTCAAAACAACTCTGCCCATTTTTGTTGTTAATGACAGAATACCTTTTTTTTCCACACCTTGCTACTTCTTAGATACAGATTTTAAATAAACCCAGGGTATCTGTAAGTCAGGCTCCTGAGAGTTTCTAACACACTTTTTTCACCATCTACTTGAAAATACCACCACAGCCATAAGGCAGCACAATTTTAGGCAACTTTATCTTTTTAACAAACCATACCCAGATTATTTTCCTCAAACACATCACTCGTTTACAAGATCAGGT